TCTGTATTAATGCGAATATAGTATTTAAAGCTTCCTAAACAGCGTAGGTCTCATGCAAATACTTGTGTTGATTTTGACGCCATTACGCCAATAAATAATTGATATACATTTTGTCAGATGAGTTGTGGTAACAAGGTAAAACCAAAAACATATTCTCTGTAACTTAAGTAGTGTTTTTTCTTTTCGTGTGTGTTTGACCCAGTTACCGTATATCACTGGCCGGCATCTCATGTTTGCCTCATGCCATGGTGAAATTCTATGCCATGATAACATCATGTTTGAAGTAGCTGAGATTATCATTTTTTAAGTTTTATATCGATTTCTTAATATATGATTATTCAATTTTATCATCGTAACTTTGTGTTTATAAAGTTAGTCACCGGCACATCTGAATTCTTGTGTCAGGCAATTGTTAGCAAGATTATTCGCTGAAATTTCTGTCATGATTGAATCCGGTAGATGTAATTCTTGATTAGTTGCTGGAGCTTTTTGTGAGTACTCAATGCAGAATTTTGAACATCCTTTTATCTGATTTCATGTCTATATTTATATTAATGCAGAAGTTAAGATTCCCCAGTATGTTGACAAAGTCACTCCTGAGTACAAACCCAAGTTTGATGCCCTGGTGAGACACTCCTATTTACAATGTTGTAGCCTTTTCTTGAAATTTGGACATTTTTGTAGCCTTTTCTTGAAAAATTTGTAACTATAATCTTACGATACCTTATGTGGTCTAATAAACGGAAGAGCTTTTTGGTGGTGCTACAGCTTTTGTAAATGAAAAGTTTTATTTCTACTCGAGAGGTATGGATTCTCTCGAACGTACATGATTTTATGAAGAATAGACAGAAATGTGAATGAAGCCATCTGTTTTATAATTGACATCTTGAGGATCCCCAAATTGCAGAGACATTATCCTTTTGAATTTGCATTTTGGAATAACTATCACCGACTTATTCCAGGCGATGCATTCTAGAACATTCTTTGACAGAAGTATGTCGTGTGGAACTGTTCTTGATAAGGGGTACACCAACTAAAATAAGCATAAGCACTCACAACATGCAAAACTATATCATATTAATTCCCAACAGGACATGTGTCCTGGAGATGCGATTATTCCAAATTCTCCTTGAACTTGCTCGGCTGTTATATTTGAAATTAGCAACCTTGGAGAATCTTATTTCTCCTTTACTTGAGTTGCAGTTGATAGAGCTGAAAGAGGTTGAGGAAAAGTCGTGGAAGGAGTCTGAAAGATTGGAAAAGGAAATTGCTGAAGTTCAAGAGCTGAAGGTTATCTTCTATTTGTTCTTTTTATTTGCCACACGCGCAACACAAACACGACATGCACTTTGTGTTTATTCACACCTTAATTTTGGTGTAACAGGAAAAGTTTAGTACCATGACTGCCGATGAGTACTTCGCAAAACATCCTGAGCTCAAGAAGAAGTTTGATGATGAAATTAGAAATGATTACTGGGGCTATTAGTTTTTTATTTTGCGCACGGGTTCCCAGGAATTCTCTTGGGTGAACCTGTTCCGTTTCACTTCAGTTCAGAAATAAAGAGAGAACAAATATCGTTTTCCATTTTGTTTCTTGGGGTATCTAATAACACTGAGATACACTTGTTACAGCTTGCATTGGATTATTATAATTTGTGTGAATTATGCTGAGAGTGATTTCGTATGACAAGCTTTTGGAGCATATGTGCATTGTATGCAAATCGAGTTATCTTTCACCTATTTGTGTCCAAAATATTTGAACTATTGTTCGCCTATATTTCTAAAAGCTCGATCGCAAGTTTTCGGTTTCACTTGCAATAAGTAGCAAGCAATGTTGTTTTCCATGAGACAAATAGGGAAGTAATTTCACTTAATTGCTGCTGATAAAAACCCACACAATTTATTTTCGAGACTAAAGATTAAAGAAGATTTCATCTCTATAAAACTGCTATAGAGTCTCTACTGTTAGAATGTGGTTGGTTGTTGGTTCAACCAACATCACCAATTAAGTAATTATAATATAAATTAATATATATGAATGACTATTTTGTCCTTGATGTAATTGTATTATTACGATTGTACTATCAGAATTTTTCCTATAAATAGGAGCTTCAGTTATAATGAAAAGATAACGAAGAGATAACATTCTCTATATTCTCTCTATTCTCTCTTGTTTTATAATACGTTATCAACACGAGCGCTCTACCCGATCAGAAAGATAAGATGATATTATTAAATTTACTTATGAATTACTACCTATTAAGAAAATAATTTCAAGTTATAATAAAAATATATAATATTATTACTTGTAATTAACACCCACAGAACTATTTACCTAGTAGTGTGGAGTGAAATTTATAACTACTTATTATTGTACTCACCGAAAGAATTATCGAGTAAGTGTACTCACCGGAAGAATTATCGAGTAGTGTAGAGTGACATTTTTTATTTGTTTTGTTACTTGTATTTACTAAAATTGTTCACCTAGTAACTCGGATAAATGCTAAAATAATATGCATGATTAATTATAATTTTATAATCATGAATGATATAATTAATAAATATTATATCAATAATGTGTTTTTATATAAAATAAAAAATAAAATAAAAAATAAAATAAAATCCAACGGCTAATTAACGGCTATTTTGCAATGACTATTTATCAATCTATATATATAACACTTCAGTTCATGTATTAATACTCACTCCAAAATATTACAATATATTCTCATCATCAACATCAACATCAACATAGATTTTAGTCCTAAGCAAGTCGGGGTAGGCTAGAGATGAAACCCAAGAGAAACACAAAAAGACTCGAACCGAAAGGAAGAGATAAAAAAAAAACGAGAGAGAGAGAGAGAGAAAGGAGAGAGAGAGAGAGAGAGAGAGAGAAAGGAGCAAAAGTCACGGTTCTGGCACGTTGATAGCGAGCCTCCAAGCGCTCCTATCCACCGCTAAATCCTTGGAGATATTCCAATCTTTAAGGTCTCTCTTAACCGACTCTTCCCAAGTGAGTTTAGGCCGACCTCTATCTCTCTTAACATCCTCGACTCGCTGTAGAACTCCCCTACGCACCGGTGCATCAGGAGGCCTCGGTTGGACATGTCCGAACCACCTCAGCCGATGTTGAACCAATTTCTCTCCTATTGGAGCCACCCCGACCCTATTTCGAATATCCTCATTCCGGATTCTATCCCTTCTTGTGTGCCCGCAGAACCAACGCAACATACGCATCTCTGCTATACTTAGTTGTTGGACATGTTGCCTTTTTGTAGGCCAACATTCAGCACAGTATAGCATCACCGGGCGAATCGCCGTCCTATAGAACTTACCTTTTAGCCTTTGTGGCACCCTCTTATCACAGAGAACGCCCGATGCCTGACGCCATTTCAACCAACCGGCTGCAATTCTATGCCTAACATCAGCATCAGTGCCGCCATCCTTTTGTAGCATCGATCCCAAATACCGGAAAGTCTCTTTCTTGGCCACCACTTGCCCGTCAAGGGTAACGTCGCCATTATTATGTGAAGCCATGCTGAAAGCGCACGTCATGTTTGATATATTATTTATAATTACCATTATATTCCTGTGATGGAGATTCGTTACCTAAACCTACCGAGCCTTGTCATTCGAAAGATTCAGACCCACGTGTATGTATCATACTGCTGAGTTTATATTTTATGTATTAGGTTTTTTTCTAATGTGTTTCTTATTAGCCGTTCTGATTGCTTTGAATAATGAATGATTGTATTTGTAATTTTCTTAAATCTAAGCATTAATGTTGTATTTTGTGAATGATTGTATTTATAATTTTCTTAAATCTAAGCATTAATGTTGTATTTTGTGAAGATAGAGTTTGAGGCATTTGACATCACTGAAAAAAAAATTACATTTCGTGGACATGTGAATATTTATGGATTGATCCATGTGATATGAAATATGTAGTGCCAGAAGCACATGTACAAAACGTATAATTTATCACATGAGGTATATATGATAAAATTACCTCTTATATATGACTATATATTTTCTTAATTTAATTGTTCTAATTTATGAGCATATCTTGTTTGATATGTATCCTATTATTCTTAACATTAGTTGTTAATATTTGAAAGTGGTAACATGTATGATATGTCCAGTAGACATTATCTTCTGTATAATTTTTTTTTTCAATGTTGGGGGAAAACTATTATATAAATTATGAAATATCTCTTAATTGTTATACTCCTGAAGAGTTATAAAATAAAAATGTCCACATATATATTATTATTTTGTTCATGCATCTGAAAACGAATGAAGCGTATATGGATAAATATTAAAATGTGACTTATATATGTTGTTTGGAATATATATGGCGTAGATATCAAAATATGCAATTACGAAATGAATTTATTTTGGAAATTATAGTTCCATATTTTGCTTCGTTGTTTTATGGACTTGGTCCATATTTATTGAGCCTAAATCAATTTGAATATATTGAACTTTAGTCTAATTGACTAGTGAACCAAATTAATGGTATGCAACTTTTATAGTTATTTTCTATGAATTGCAGAGAAAATATCTTGTTAAATATTATGCCTATAAATTTGAGTTTCCCTGAAGGATTACATATTTAAAAGTATCACTAGTAAATTTGAATACATAACTAGATTTAGTATCCATGAAGGATTGATCCTATTGATCGGTATCATAATTGCATAAGAATTATTTAGCGAGTATCTTTGAAAGATTAATCTAGTAAATAATCTCGTTAAATTTTAGATAAATTCATTATATTTTGATTTTGGATCAGTTCTGCATATTCAATATACTCTTAATGAAGGCATGTAACCAGAATGTTAAAAAAAAATAAAAATAAAAATTAAATCAATATACAAGTTTTCTTAAATTATTTATATTTACTTGTATATTTGATAAGATGTATACTATTGAATATATTGTCTATAGCTACAATAATAAATTTATACGTAATGCCTGAAGCACATAATATTGTTGATAGCTACAATAAAAGGCTCACAAATAACGTTCGATTATAGTGCCTGAAGCATATGTTGTTCACTTAGAAATAATTTATTATAGTTCGATGTCCAACTTATATATTTGACATATAGCATGAGCATTAGATCATATTGGACAATTATTTTTCCCCAAATGGTGCGTGAAGAATAGAACATTTCCCATCTGTGATTTATTATTATTATTATGCACAATCTTATGTCACCACCAATTCGTACCTTTATGGGCCTATATTACAAACTAGGTTTGCTATGATTTTTATACTCCGTCGAATTTTTAACACCTAGAGGCCATTATAGGGGTATATTATTTGGTACGTGTTTTGCATAATATATGATAATGATCTCACGGCATTAGGGGGGGATATGAGCATAAACGTCGTGAAATATATGAAATTCTCTAGAGAATGATTTACTCATTAATGCTAGAAGCATAAGGTGATATAATTAATATATGATGTATGAAAGTCCGCGGAAAATTTATATTCAAGAATTAACAGAAACTCCTAAAGAGTTAATCCAGTACATCTTGCACGTGCATCAAATCATTATAGTACTGGAAATGCGGAACAACCAAAATTAAATATTAAGGGAAATGATTATAAATATGGCTAGGAAATATGAAGTTGTACATATGGTTGAGAGAATAAAAATTAAATATCATAGTTGTCGACAACATAATTGCATATATGATTTCCTTACTATCTCAAATAATGATCCGGATCAAAATAATGAAAGTGCTAGAGCCGTGTAGGTTGATTGAGATAGAAAGGAAAATAAAGGCAGAGCTTCCACTCGGTACACGATACATCCCAGAAGGATAGTATATCCTAGAAGGATAATGAATATTTATATGAAACATGTGATATGGTGGTGTGATGTAAATATAGCGAGATTATGCTCATGGGTTTACGCAGAGACCCAAATTTTAAAAAAAAAAATTCTCTAATTAACAATTATTCCGCAAGTTAATATTTATGGCAGCAACGTTACCATGACTATTGAGTCATATGTGAATGTCCTGAATGGACTAGAGTACCCGAGATGAAAGATAGTTAAATAATAAATCATTTAAGTATATAAAATTGTACGTAAAATGTGGTACAACCATTAAAATTCTTCCGGAAGAAGTAAAGTAAGAAATTCAATTTAGAACCTTGTGTATAATGGTAATATACAAAATGATCATCTCGGTCAAATAGATTATGTGGTGAACACTATATAAAAGATTAGCTCATGCTTATAGATGGAGTTAGAATAAAGCTCTTGGTTAAATACCAAAGAATATTATCTCGACTTGTAGATCGAGCATCTACTAGAAAAAGTATATTTGACCCAACCAATTTAAATGAATCTCATTTTAGAGATATAAAATTATAACACCAATTAGTGTCAAATATTTAGAATTTGACAAATATTTATAAAGATCCAAAGAAACTAATGAGAATATCATAGGACCTGAAGTTCTAATGGACTTGAAGTCCACAAACGACCTGAAGTTTATTTATTAAGCGCAATTGTTATAAAATTTTATCTCGCAAACTGCATCAGGCCTGATACTACATTTGCGATGAATTTGCTAGCAAATTCTTCTTAAAGAGATATCGTGATAAAAGTTAAAAATATTTATATTTTCATGTATGATGAGTTGTCTTTGGACTTGATATATTGGTGGATAAGTACATCAACTGTATAATTGATCCCCGAAGTATTGGGTAATCAATTGGTTATATACCCTGAAGGTATGATACGCATATGATACGATTCTGTCAGAATCTTCACTTAAAATGTGATGTATGTGTCACAAT